AACCCCATAGGTAGTCTGTTGTCAGAACCTATTATCGTTTCAGCTATTGGTGGGCATGAATTAAAGATCTGTTACTGTCAGACTGAATGCTGTTTAAAGACAGGACCTAGGGGCCAGCCAAGAACGCGAGGTATTGTTCAGATGGAAGTAACAAGGTCTCTAAATGAAGGCAATCTGAAAGAGCTTGCATAGTTGGAAGGTGCCAGTTGCTTGAAGGATTAATGAAAAGCGTGTAACATGGCCAGTGAGGCCTTGATGAAATAGTTTTTTCTTTAAAGCATATTAGGGTAAGGTCTTCATAGGGATTAGCTAAGCGCAGAGATGAAGAGATGAAGCAAGAGAGAAGAGAGACAGTAAAAAGGAAGGGTACTTGGGGCAAGTGAAAGGAAACTCAGAGATGGGAGCATATGGGAGGGAGTGAGACGAAAAAAACAAGTTAAATGGAAGAATGCCTAAAATTAAAAGCGAAACACAGCCATATGGACATGCTAAGGATCAGAGGGTCCCTGCTGCTTCAGTGTGCCCCTTTGGCTGTGGGGTGTTTTCTCTTTGTTGTGGGTTTCTTTCTTTGTCTCCTTTTGTTTTTCCCTTGGTGGCTTGGGGTGAGCGAGGTGCCACCATGAAACCATGTAACACCTTCAGAGGTCAGTCTGGGCTGAAATGAGGCCTGTCCGGTTCGCCACAGCTAAGGGTGTTACGGGGATGTCTGGACTTGATGGAGTTCCAGCCACATCTAACGGTTAACTTTTGATGTCAAGATCCAGTTTTCCCAAAAGTAAGAAGTTTCTGCCATGAGGAAAACTATTCTAACTTTTTTTTTTCTTTAACTGCTGCTGTCTTGAAAAAAGAAGTTCAAAGAAAGCTACTGATAACTATTTAAATATTTCCACTAGTCCCAGGAGTGGCATCATATCTAGCTGGGAAACTAATCTAGAAGTTCCTTTTTTTTTTTTTACTGCTCAGCTGTTATTTCTCTTTAGTAACCTTGTAAAGCATAAGAAGAATTTTTACATTAATTTCACAAATTTTGTGTTAATAGGCAAACTTTGGACCAGAAGTATGAAGGTTGCTTACAATATACTACATAAATTAGGCACAAAGCAAGAACCAATGGTACGACCTGGAGACAGGGTAAGTATCTGAATGATTTTTAAATACTAACTCAATAATTCAGATCCCATGTTAGCAAAGAGATAATGAGGTATTTTGGGTGATCAGAGAAAATCAATTAAGTTAAATGTTTTGAGGCTAAGATCTGCCTTTTGCTAAGAAAAGACTGATCACTCAGACATGTTTTGAATTGTGTAATAAATAACCTGAGCTGGTACTCGCTGAATAGTAACCCAAAGTTGTGGCAACATCAACAATAAACATTACCATGGAAAGTGATTTTTGGACATAGAAAGCAGACTGTTTAGCAAAATCTTGCTTATGGAGCCTGGAGGTGTCACGTGGGTAAAAATCTTACTTACTAATGGCTTTGTAGTTACTGAGGTGGTAGAAACAAGAGAAGCATTTTGGAGGACAAAGACAAGCAAAGTAAGCACATTTTGACAGCAAGTTAAATAAATAAATTAAGCTGACTGGTAAGATGGAGAATATTTCCATTCCTGGTTCCTGACTGATGCAGCTGCTGCTGGAGACTTGAGTCTAGGTGAGTGGATAAAGTTCACCGATAGCAAGGGGTACAGAGCTCACACCTGAAGATGTTAAATGTAGACAAGAACATCCTATGGTTTTGCTGCTCACACACTTACAGACCTACCCCTTCCTCTGTCAAAGCTGGTTGAGGCTGCTGCCCCTTTTCTCTGCCAGAGCGTGTATAGGCAGTTTCACAGATCCCATTCCAGGTAGGCTTTAAGCTGTGGAATGGCAGTCCCAGAACAAATCTGTCAGAAATGCAAATTTTAGTCCTGCGTTAGTGCTTAGGGTTATGAGGTTGAGATTAAGTCTTCCTCCCCCAATGTCTGGTGGCAATTCTCAAACTGTTGGTTCTCTTGATCCTCTTGTGCTACATGTGCAAAACACGTCCGTTTGCATCACACATTTCTTCAGGCTCCAAAAATGAGAGCATGCAATCTTGCTTCTCAAAAGGAGAAAGAAGAAAAAAATTTTAAAAATTAAACCTGGCAGTCCTTCCTATATTTCTTTTAGAAATAAATCATAAAGAATTTAACTAAAGGATCTCTAGATCCTTAATCTAAATTGCTTCCTACAATGGCATTCAGCCAGAAGTAGGTTCTGAAGAATTTTTGTACTTGATACACAAGTGTGTCTCTAAGCAACAGCAGAAGAAACAAGTTGTTCAGGTGTAGACATCAAAACAGTCCACCCAGAAAGCTCCAAAAAGACTGAAGTTCGCATACGGGCAGTGTGCATCTCTCCCTGTCTTTGTGCGCTACCTGCACATCTTCATGTTCGTCTGCTGCAGCAGCCGCTGGCATCTCCCAGCATTACGAAAGGATTTGTGGATAATTCAGGCTGAAAGCTGGGAGTTTAGCTAGTGCAGGACACATAAAGAACAAATTGCAGCTCTTCTAAAATGAGTCCACCTAGATTACAGTGAAACAAATGTTTATAGCTGAGTGCTGAAAGCATATGCTTTGCGTTGTAAAAACATCTTGCCTAGCATCGCTGTGTAACAGAAATATGATCACTTGAAGCAACTTCATGTTGAAAATGAGGTGTTACTGTACTTCTGATGCTTGAAGCTGTTATTCTGGCTGTTACGCCCCTGTTGTAATAACATAAAAGCTTTCTGACCTCTTTGAAGATGGGGTTTTATTCCAAGTAATGTATTTTGTGTGACAACAGTTAAAGGTAGTTTTTAAATACTAAATGAAATGCAGACATATATTTCTGGTCCTTGCTAAATGAGAGTGTAATTGTTTCCTTACGTTAACGTTAGATGCAATTCAGAAAGGCCTTTATCCCTTTAAAAGCATCTTCTATCAATACAATCTCTGTTTTTCATGACTACCATTGCATCACTCCTTAGGTTCTTTCTCTTAGCCAAAAAAATAAGTGAATGTGCTTGTGTTTGATTCCCTGTTTCTGGTATTCTTATCATACATGACAAACTGCATTTGCCTTCTATAGTAACTTCAGAAATTTAACCTTGTGTCACCCCAGACAGCTGCCTGGAAATTAAGCTTGGCCTCTGAAATATCTGCTAGATAACCAGGTTCTCATCTGGTAATATACATTGTGTTTTGTTTTCCTTCAGCCTTATCCCTTTCTGCTTTTACACACATCATTTATTTATTTGGTACAGATCTGTTAGTGATTAATGGTTTTTGGAAGGGAAGTTAATGCCTCATTCCCACTGGACTTTGGTGAGATTTTGTTCACCTCTGTCAGCTCCTTTGCAAAGATTCCCAGCCAAACCTTCGCTGCTTGTGTGCAAATAAACACCAACACAAATCCCAACAATCCTCAAAATGTCTTTTGGGATCTTTCAGCATCTTTTAGATATTTGCTGGGCTCAGCAAACTCTACCGTCCCCTCAGTGCACCTCGCAAAATCCCTTCCTTTCCATTTCTCCTGAGGCTATGGTGTGTGCATGGAGAATACATGAAGGAAGCTCTGCACAGCGATCTCCAGCAGTTGGGTTGTTTCCTGTGCAAGTGTACAGATAAAGTAGCAATCTATTTTCTCTGAAGTTTCTCCAAATGGTTCTGAAGTCTTTCAACTTAAAAGCAGATGTATTTTGGACCCACTTGGACAAGGTTGGTTAGATTTCTTCTAGTTTGAAGAAATCAGGTTAGTCTATGGGAGGTGACTATCTTTGAAGCCATATGAAATCACTGGATACTCTTAATCTCTCCAGTAACTGAACCTTGGAAAAGGGTATGAAAACTTGATGATTTTGCTTTGAGAGACTGAAACACAGAACTTGTATGGTCGACAAAGCAATCAAACCCTCTTTTATCTAAATAGTTCCCTAGCCCTAGCCCTAAAACTGTGAAGTTTAACAAATCCAGACCTACATTGGCATGCCCTATGGCCAGCTCTGGATGTGTTGTTTGCTTCTCTAGATATCAGCTGTTTGTGTTCACTAAGTACACAGAAACTCCTACAGTTGGACAATGGTCCAGTCCTAAAATGAACTTCTTGTATGAGGCAAAACATAGGGAGACAAAGCATGATGTGTTAATGATTGACATAATGGCATAGTAGGTCCGGGTAATCTGAATTGGTCACAGATCCACTTTGGTTTTGGTAACTTCAAGCATATTACTAAATTAGAATGTCAAATTCTATTAATTCCATTTATGTAATCATTTAACATCTGTAAAGCAATCAGTAAGTTGAGAACCATGTGAAAGGTACTGTCAGTGTAGGAAACAATGCAGCATGAAAATATTTCACTGTATCATAAGTGAAAATGTTCACAAAAGGAATATCTCTCAGAGTGGATTCCTTCTGATTCCTTATTCATCTTTCATTAGGTATTTGAATAGTTCTCACAGAAATGTTTCAGTAATTATCTCTCTCCAAAAGGAAGCATGGAAACTCCAGTTATCGTTATGTGAAACATGAGATTAGACATTTTTAACGTAAGTCTCTTTGTTTCAGGTAACACTCGTATTTCCCAACAATGACCCTGCTGCTTTCATGGTAGCATTTTACGGCTGCCTGCTCGCAGAAGTTGTCCCCGTCCCTATTGAAGTGCCACTTACAAGAAAGGTAGGGAACTGAATTTCTTCTCTACACTGCATTTTAAAACTCATGTAAGAACAAATCACATAGCTTTCAAGTACTTTTCTGTGGTTAACTATCTCTGAATCTGAGTATACAAAGATAGCGTTGTGTGGTGAGTTACATATAGTTCGTTCTTGTCTGTGATGGAAAATCTGAAGATGTGGTTGCAATTTCAGCAAATGCAGGTCTGTCTGGAAAAGGAGAAGAAAATGTTGCAAGAGAACAGCTCTGCCAGTCCTAGATGGATTATCTCTGCAGGCTCTCAAAGCATTCTGGTGTTGGCCACTGACAAAGAATCATTGGCAACAACTGCTGATTTTCCACCTGTCCATGCAACCCAAGCTATGTTATAATAGCTGGTGCTCTGTATGCTACTTCACAGCAGTTATGGAAACGCCTTCGCCTGTGTCTGTATGTGCACATGTATCCTGAAGTTTCTGTCATCACAGTCATCTCTGGCAAGGGTGGCACTTGAGCAAAATGAATGTGGGAATTCTTGCTGCAGAATATATATATATTCATAGAGAAAACCGACCGTTGCTAATCAAAAGCATTTCACATCCAGTGTTCATTCAGAGCTTCAACCATGTATCGTAGGGAGGTGTTAGCAGACAGTTACAGCAGTTCAGAAGAGAAAGTGAGGAGGGGGCTCAGTGGTGTGAGTGAGTCACAACTGGGGGGCTGACACTGATGCTGCTAAGCTTGCTTTTTTTTCCTGAGGATGTATACCTTGAAGACTGTACATACAGCAAAACATACTCATTACGAGTACTTTTTGTCGTATCTCCTGAATTTTACCATTTGCATTTACCTGGTTGCAATGCCTTTTCTCAGTTTCTCCCAGATATCCACTTCTATAATCCTTTTTTTATTAGCTGGCACTAATAATGCCTTACATTAATTTTTTGGTCTGGAATTGTCCATGCTAAGTCTGCTCTCTAATCCTTACAAGCTTTCTTTTTTAAACCAAATTCTTTTGGAAAATGCTGACTGAAGCCATGAGGTGTTTCCAAGGAAAAGGCTGGGGAAATGTGTTACATTGCTCACATTTCCAAGTTTTCCATTTTCAAGAGCTTTCCTTTGAAACACTCTGGTGTCACAGCACCCTGAAACAGAAGCTCAAATCTTTGCTTCCTGGACAGGTACCCTGCATTTCAAATGAAAAACCATGAAAATAAGTTTCTAAGCCCTCATAAGGGCTTTGCAGTTTGCATGTCTCACATCGCAATTTAACAACTAGAAATATCTGGAGGTTACTTCCTAACTGAACACGCCTGAACCTTCCTTATCTCTGAGAAACTGAGTTCTCTCATCGTTTCTCCATGATGTTCCTGCCCTGGCCAACATCTGTGATGGGCCCTTGCCATGGAGAAACCAGAAGCTGGCAGAGAGAAAGGACGGTGGCTGGAGGAAGAGATGGTTCAGTGCACTTTATTAGTAAAATGTTGTGTTTGGGAGCACTGAGAGCTGGACGTGACTATGGACTGAGGATCACGATTTCAGTAGAAATGCAGCGCATTTGTGTCAGTCTCTCACCATGCTCTCATATGTGAATTCAGTACCTTAAGATGGTTTGAGGCAGTTGCATAACATGGTGCATTATTTCAGTATATAACAGAGATTTTAAATGCATCAACAAAAAAAAATGAGCGGACTGTATGCTTTAAGATCATACAGAGTGCTCATATGGGCAGGTCTGCTTTCATTCTACAAGAAAAAGAAGCAACATGGCTTTGAGGGATAAAAAACCTAACGTATCTCCCTGTTAGTTATTTTCCAAGGTTTAATGACATTTTAAAGTGTGTTTGGTAGGTGTAAATTTGATTTATTTTGGGCCATCTGATGCCACATCCATCCAGTAAACTATAAAATCCAGCTGTCCAAGTAAATACTCTCTGTCAAATTAATAACTTGCCCTAATTTGGCTGAACCTCTTGGGTGGTTTTTTTTTCAATAATATGTGTGTATATATGGATATATAAATATACACTTACACATGCGCATATATGTTTATTTACATAAAGGAATATCTACAGACCTACAGTGTTTAACTATTGCCAAGATCATTCCGTGATGTTTAAGTATCAAATTAATAAAACAATAACAGAGATGTCAGTGGTACAGTTGAAAAAGCGACATGATCTATGATCTATAAATAAAGCTATGCAATCTCACAGCATATACTATTGCAAATATTTTTGCATTTGTTTATATGGAGTGGGAACTGGAGTGGAAACAATGAGATGAAAATCGTGTTCTGAGTAGTCCCAGAAGGAATACCTCTGCGTGGTCAAATGGCAGCGGATTGCTTCTGGCATCCGTGGGAAGATGTCCTTCGTGTCATCACACAATGGCCTAGGCTGTTCTTCTATGCTTTCCCATTATTTGGTCTCTTTTCTGCATGCTTCAGTGCATTCTGGCAGTGGGCGTTTTTTGGTTTGCTTTTTGGAAGACAGAGATGTGAACTAACAAATAGGCTGACAATTACATTGTAGGCTAACAGAGACTCACAGAACAACAAGCTGATACAGGATGAGCTATTTCAGAGAGTTATATTGTGAGCACATTTTTAATATTAAAAATTTGTGTTAGCAGCTATGGTACTGTTTTGCATTTTCATAAAGAAGAGTTTTTTCACAGCTCTGTACAAATTGTTTATGCCTGGCAGTTAAAAATTGAGCAGTAACGTCTGCAGCCACATTGCCTTCTGGCTTACATATTACTCTGCAGACATCTACACACATACGAAAGGAAAGGCTTTTGTTTTAGCAGCCTGTAGACTTTGTGTGCATTCCCTTTTCTTTGTATCATGACTGTTTGGGATTTTTTAGATTTTGGCAGGGACCTTTTCTGGTTCATCATTAGGTGAGGGTCCATCTCTTCTTGCTCTTTTGTTGTTTCCCATCTTTGAGTTGACAGAATACCTGGAATTGGTTGTACTGCCCCCAAGGGCTTCAGGAGACTTCTCTGCCGTGGCACCTGGGATGGACTGACTGAATTCCCAGTGGTCACACAGCCTTCTCCAGTTTAGATTTATTCCCAGAATACTTCTTGGTGTTTAGCAAAGATCTGGGAATTGACATTCACATCAGCATAATTTTGGCTCTTTAGACTTGGGAAATCTAACATTAAAAAGTGAAATTCCAGGCTTTTTTAAATTACTTCAAATCGGATTCTTCATTCTGGAAGCAGTAGTCACGGATTTTGTGGTCATTGTAGCAGCAGAACAAACAGCATGTTGTATTTCTTCTTCTTTCCCTGCATTAATACCACAGAAATGCCTGTACCATGAACACTCCTGAGTATTTTTTTGTAACTGATCTTCACCTCTTGGACTATGGGTGAGGTTCTTTCAGAGTAATGTTCCTCTCTCCAAATATCTTTATGTTTCCCGAACATTAGCAAGCAGTATGTTCTGTGCAACATCTCTCCTTCAGAGCTGCCACTTCTGTTAATCTTGTCTGAAGCTGGATTATTACAAAGTGTTTAGTTGTTTGTGTGGTACGGTAATTGCAAATTATTTATCATAAAATGTGCCATCAAAGTAGATGATACGGGATTTTCAGCCTGCCAAGTTCTAGTTCAAAAAGCATCTTACTCCAGAATCACAGAATCTGAGGAGTTGGAAGGGACCTTGAAAGGTCATCCAGTCCAAACGCCTGCCGGAGCAGGATCACCTAGACCAGGTCACACAGGAACGCATCCAGGCAGGTTTTGAATGTCTCCAGAGAAGGAGACTCCACAACCTCTCTGGGCAGCCTGGTCCAGTGCTCTGTAACCCTTTTCCCTCATGAAAAGATTTGAAAATATTTTTTATTTCTTTGTATTTTTTTAGGTTAATTTTTTTTCCATTTGTTGGGTGCCATGAAAATTATTATTGTTCTGCTCTGATATGGTCAGGGAGCTAATCAGGTTTAATCTTAAAACAAGATTTTTGTCCTCCAAGCACATTCTTAGTTGTGCTCAATCACGTGCTGTGAACATATGAACAGAGCGATCCCACATAGATCTTTATGGCCTCCTTATCATAGGCAGTGGGTCTCTGTGGCAGGGCATGACATGAAAACGTGTAAAACTCTATTTCTCAGCCAAAACTATTTCCTGGCCTGTTAGATTTAATGCTATGTGTGCTTCCAGTAGGCATTTCTGTGCCCTGACAGTGTGTTTGGAAGAATGTGCCTGGAGATATCCACTCCAGGACACCTGGGTTTTTTTAAAGGATGCTTCGTACAGGGTAAACAATGTCTTTCAGGGACTCTTTTTATTAAGTACAGAGAAGTTAGGTTATTAAAGCTTCAGCAGTAGCCAGAGATGTATCTCTTTAAAGACAATGACAATATCCCAGGTTTGTCTTCCATTTGTATTCCAAAGAAAATACACTTTGATGCCTTTCCTACTGATTCAGAGCCGGAGATGAAATGAGCTTTGTTTCCTCTCAGCTTTAGCCATCATTGAGCTGCAGTGTGCCAGGAACACTGGAGCTCTGCATACTTCTGATTATCTTCTGACAATGCATCTCTTTTCTCCACTGGGTTTAAAATACGCATAAAATGTTGTGTATTTTTTTCAGTAATAAGGTCTTCCAGTCACTCCAAAGAGCACAGGTGCCCTCAGCCCCACATGAGCCCCTGGTGCACACCACCAGACCCATCCTTTCCTCTTCATACACTTTGGCACCTGGGCACTGAGCAGAGTTGGCCACAGTGAATCTCAGATCCTTTAAAGCTTACACTTTTTTATGTTTAGGATAGAGTAGTTTCATAGAGAGCACATCACACTTCGTGCAGTGTGCCCTGCCAAAAGTAGCCAGTGCCTTGCTTTCATTACGACTGGTGGACATCAAGAGTGCTCACAGTTGCAGATTTCATGTGCAAATTATAGCTAGATACCAAAGCTCTGTCTGATAAGACAGCTGATTTCTTCATCTTAAAGCTGGCTATGAAAATTATATCTGCTTTTTATTTAATTTTTATTAAAGTCTTTGA